GACGCCGAGCTAGCCTTCAGAGCGCAGCAGGGCTTGGAGTAGCAGCTCCTCCTACCTGGAAACTAGATTTTGTGTTTGTTACAATGTGTTCTGTTGGGGAAGAGAATTTTGTGGATGTTTTCAACTTAACTGTGTACGACAGAACATCCAAATGAGCAGACTGCCTGGATCGCGGGACGGGGCATCTGCGTGTGTGAGGGGTGCAGAGTTGCCTGATAGCATGTAGGACACCATGCACAGTAGGATTTCAAATGACCAGTAAGTTTTAGTACTTGTTCACCTGAATTTCAGGGCCCTTTTTTTTTTTTTGCAAAAAAAGATCTGCAGCACTTGAAATATTCAAAGAACAGTTGCTATTAGAATGAGTTTTTAGACTGTCTGCCCTCCTGTGGTATTACATTCAGTGATTTTGCCATGGGTGGGTGTATCCCTTTAAGGCAGATCTGTATTCAAGATAGAATTAATCCTAAAATTTTGACTTTGTGGATTGTTGATGAAAGTACAGTATGGGATTCACAGTTTAATTAAGGTTTAAAGTTAAATATGTCATAGGTATCTCAAGTTCAAATTAAAATTTAACTCAGTTGATACTATAAGTTATAGACTTTCTTCTGGATGGGTACCACTGAGTTTATTTCCTTCTGAAGCTGGCATCCTTGCTATGGGGCAGGCAGGGGTAGACAAAATATATTCAATCTGTATTTCAGAATTCAGAATTTGAAATTGGTATGTGTTTAGTACTTTCATTGTTCTGCTCTTACCTTTAATGTAAATGGCTCTTTAAAAATTTTTCATTGCAGTGTTGCCCGAGTGTGATCTCAAAGATGGGAGGTGCGGTGAGTGCTGGTGAGGACAATGATGAGCTGATAGACAATTTGAAGGAAGCACAGTACATCCGGACCGAACTGGTGGAGCAGGCTTTCAGAGCGATTGACCGCGCAGATTATTATCTTGAAGAGTTTAAAGAAAATGCTTATAAAGACTTGGCATGGAAGCATGGAAACATTCACCTGTCGGCTCCGTGCATCTACTCAGAGGTGATGGAAGCCCTGGACCTGCAGCCGGGGCTCTCGTTCCTGAACCTGGGCAGTGGCACCGGCTACCTCAGCTCCATGGTGGGGCTCATTTTAGGTAATCGGGGGAGTTTGCAGGACCAAAGAGCTGCTGTGTCCTTTGAAGGGGTCTGTCTAATTGCCCTTGGCCTTCCCAGTGTTATCTGGTATCATTTACCAATAGTCGCTGGTGGGCTGGCTCCCGGTCCCTGTCCCCTGCCACGTGCGCCTCCAGCAGGTGTCAGCACACCCTCCTCTCCAGCAGTGGAGCCCCTGGACAGTGGCGTCAGTCTGGATCTTCCCTGATTTCCTGACTCGACCTCACCCAGCATGCCCTGCCACTTGCTCTAAACAGAGTAATTAACTTCAAAGTCCCCTGGGATTCACAGTTCTCTCAAACAGTTTTTGTTTGTTTTGTGATTTGAACACTGGAAGAATTAATGCCTGTAATGTTATTTTTAGATAAATTCCAGGATGAGAGGGATTTCACAAGTTAACTTACTTGAAGCCATTTAGTAACATATCCGATAACTGAGGATTCATTTAATTCCTATCTTGTGTAAAATGAGGGGGCGGGGAGGGCGTAGGGAGGGGGAGAGCATCTTAACAACTATCATGGCCAGAAGCTTTTCTGGAAAAATAAAATGTATCAATGCAGAGCAGGGAGCAGGTCGTGGGCAGCCTCAGAAGATGGAGGAGGCCACTCTGTCCCGTCCGGAGGTTGACAGTGACTCTGGAGAAGAAAGATGTCAGTTGTGAGAGAATCCACATGGGGTGTCAGGAGGAGGAAAGGAGAGTGTGCAGTGTGGAGCCTGGAGAACTGGCACATGTGCCTCCACTTCCTTGCAAGCACACCCAGAGGCGCCCACAGGACCCACACCCTCCAGAGAGGAGCACTTGCCCTCCATCAGCACAGATGGTGCTGCCTGTCTCTGACCTGCATGGAAACATTCCCACACAGACTCACCTTAGCTGTTTGTGTCGATCGTTGTCACCCAGATGTCACCTGGAGGAAGGTTCCCACGCAGGGAGCAATGACAGCAGGAACAGCGTGATGTCTGTCACGATTCCCTCTGATAGAATGTTTCACTGTGACTTGGAATGGCAGTTTCTTCAATGATGATTAAAACCTGTTTTGTGAGGATTATTAGTGCCCACCTCTGAGTGTCTGGTGGGATCTTCTGTGGAAAACAGTCCTGTATCAATGTGCCGACACGTTTGTTCAGTTATTGGCAAGACCTTGAACTATTGGTTTCAGACCTTGGCTTTTTTATATTTTCAAATAATTCTTTGGAAGTTGGAGAGCAGGGAGATTCAGGCTTTGGAAAGCTATGGAGTCAGTAACCACAAGTGAGTGAGTGTGATGTGAGCCAAGCCTGCCTTGCATGTAAAGATTAGCTGGAGGTGATGTGTTAAGATTAGAAAACCTTGTGAATTTCTGTAATTGCTCACACAAAATCAAGAGAAATGCAGAGTAAGAGTTGTCGCTCCAGTTCTGAAAGTTTTCTGGCTCTGAACCCTTGCAGGTCCTTTTGGGGTAAACCATGGTGTGGAGCTTCATCCAGACGTGATTGAGTACGCAAAGCAGAAACTAGACTTCTTCATTAGGACCAGCGACAGCTTTGACAAGTAAGGTCAAGTCCTGTCCCTCGGTCGGTTGCTGGTTCGATTCCTAGTCAGGGCACAGGTGTTGGGGTTGTGGGCTCCATCCCTGGTGGAGGGAGTGCAGGAAGCAACCGATGCCTGTTCCACTCTCACATTGATGTTTCTCTCTCTTCCTTCCTCTCTCAAAAAAAAAATCTTAATCTCTCTCTCTCTCTCTCTCACTCTGGCCGGGTAGCTCAGTTGGTAGTTGGTTAGAGCATCTTCCCGATATGCCAGGGTTACAGGTGGTAGGCTCTATCTCTGGTGAAGGCACAGACAAGAGTCAAGTGAATGTATAAATAAGTGGAACAACAAATTGATGTTTATCTCTGAAAATTATTTAAAAAGTTTTAAAACATATATATTGGGGTTTTAAGGGCTTTAGATTTGTTCACTGTGCTACCTAGGTAAAGGTAGGTTTTCACCAATAAGAGAGAGAAATAGAATGTTCACTTTGCTCAGTTTTCATGTTTCTTATAGAGGTGTTTTATCACTGATGGTTTCTAAAACAGTGAATAGTATTTGTAACTAGTTCTTGCCATTTTTAAACAAGGCATGAATATTCTTATTCTAGGTATTAAAATTTTTAGAAAAACCAAATGTATTTTACTTACTTTCATTTCTGTTGTGTAGTTACTTTGAATAAAATAATTATAAATGCAGGGCAAAGATAGTGATGATTGGAGGTTGGATGACTTAAGCTTGGATCATGCTTATAATGTTCACTTTCATGATACTTTATTTGCAATTTCTAGGGTTTAGTTATTAATAGCACAATTCTTTTTGAAGTCTGGCTTCCATGCCAGCTCAGTAAGCTGTGTCACATGGTGTAGGTTCTGAAATGAAAGTCTAACCTGTGGTTGGCATATATTTATTATAGCCCTGTTACAAGTTACAGAGGTGTGGAATGAACACACTTCTTCCTTTCAGGTTTGACTTCTGTGAACCTTCCTTTGTTCCTGGCAATTGCCTGGAGCTTTCTCCCGACTGCTCTCAGTATGACCGGGTGTACTGCGGGGCAGGTGTGCAGAAGGAGCACGAGGACTACATGAAGAGTCTTCTCAAGGTGGGGGGCATCCTGGTCATGCCGCTGGAAGAGAAGGTCAGACCCCTTTCTAACTGACATCTTTGCACACGTAACTGTTTGGCAAGGTCTGTTGCAGGTAGTTGACACATATTCTTCCTTGTAACAACTCCGTGGTCACAAATGAGATAGCAGGCAAGGACAGGTCTTGGGTTGAATAAGCATCTCTGAGCCTCCCTGTGCACTCCCACCCCCAGCTGTGCTGTGGTGCTTGTTCTGTTACTATAATCCTATCTAATAAAAGAGAAACATGGTAATTAGCGTACGTCTGCTACCCTTCCCATTGGCTAATCAGGGCGATATGCAAATTAACTGCCAGCCAAGATGGCGGCCAGCAGCCAGGCAGCTTAAAGCCAACATGAGGCTTGCTTGCTTCAGTGACGGAGGACTCCAGCGTTCCCCGCCTGCCGCTGCTGGCCTCTGAGCTGCCACT